AATCGAAAAGCATTTCGAGAAAACTCATCATGCTTCATCTTATATATCCCTCAATGAAACAATAAAAATCCCTGCCAAATAAGGGGGGAATTTAAACTTGCCAAAAATTGCAATATAATCAATAATGTGAAAAGTTCCATCATCGAAACATCCTGTATGAATCCTCTTGAATTCAAAACCATTCCGAGAAAACTCAGGGTCCTTCATTTTATTGCCCTAGCTCAATAAGACAAAAAATCCCGGTGAAATGGGGTGATCCCAAACTTTCCGAAAATTATCACATTTTCAGATATCACCCTGTAGGTCTCTATGTCGGAAAGGTGGAATAACGAAAAATTACTGACGTTTCACTCAATGGAATGAGATATCAGAATCTTGAAAGAAATTGGAAATTGGTTTTGATCCAATCCAAAGTTATGATGGTTTGAAAATGATAGTAATTTTCGCTTGTCTCACTTCAAATGTGGGGCAGTTTAGATTCAAATCAAATTTGCGCAATTCCTTCAACGGATTGTCGGGTGACCATTTCGAGAGGTGCACATGCACTTGCAGTCCGCCGAAAGTGCATACGGCCCCTGCTGTCATTGGTCGGCCTCCAACCAATGGGCGCACTCTAAGTACCTATACGCCGTGTGGTAACGAGAGTTCATGACTTGTGCATGATGTGCAATGTGCATCGGGTAAGGATATCGCGTGAATTGCGAATTGCTTTAGAGGGGGACAGTCGAATGGCAAGCCGCGATTTTATTGCATTGCATTGGCCCGATGGTCAAACTTGCGTATATAGGGAGTAGGTGTCATAAATTCAAATGCATATACAAGTTGTCCTAGAATAAGGTCAGGGAGATAATTCTGCTGATAAAAATAAGAAAAAATGTTCCTATCAACATTCCAGCCAACACAACATGTGACATGATATCTCCGAGATTTCGCATTCAGGTAACAGTGCGATATCAGAAGCGTTTCATCGCTGCGATGTTCATAAGCAAACCCACTAAACATATTTCAGTTTCAGAAATGTCTTAGTGAAGTTTCATGGAACGTTTCAACAACATCGTCCCAGACACGTTCCGAGACAACCGTTATGGGTACATAATGGTTTCCAATTTTGTATAGTTTTAACAAGTATTATTCGAAGAAACTGGCTATGGTGTTGAAATTAAGATACATGGGCAGTATAGAAACAAAAACTGTTTTAGGTACTATATACTTATTCTTAATTTACAAACAGTTGGCAATTACCCATCACACAGATGTGAGAAATATAAAACGCAAATATAGTCTAATCAAGTCCACACTAGCTCAACATATCCTAATGAACACTTTCAACTAATATCTCTAAAACCATTGTTAATACTGAATAATACACAAAGTCATCTCCACGACAATTTTTTGTGAAAACTTACGGGTTCATTGTGAATAATCACTTCAAGGGACCATGTATTCAGACATACGTATGTCCATCATCAGCCTAATAAGAAATTACATAGTCCTACCAAAGTGTCCTACAATGAGAAAAATTAATTAAGTAACACGAGGAATCCTTATACCAAACATTTTTCACCTTCATGTGAGCTAGTATGGTAAGGATTCCTCGTGTTACTTAATTAATTTTTCTCATTGTATATGACTATGAAATTTCTTATTAGGCTGATGATGGTAATACGTATGTCCGAAAACATGTTCCCTTGATGTGATTATTCACAATGAACCCGTGAGTTTTCACAATAAACTGTCGTGGAGATGACTTTGTGTATTATTCAGTATTAACCACTGTACTCCACTTTGAGAAACGTTGAACTTTTACCAGAGATAACAATATTCTGTCCCAAACGGCGACAAAATATACAGCCAACCAATATAATTCGATTACCGAAAGAATGGATCCTTACCTTTTATGTGAACAGCTTCTCATGATGGTAATCCGTGCCGTTCATCAATATCATTCACATTTCCTTCGGATGTGGAATCATCCTTGATAAAATACTTTGTGAATCCTGATGATCCTTTCTGGCACCTCAAAACCACAGTTAAAAGAATATACAATATATTGTATATTCTTTTAACTGTGTCAAAACTAAGCAACTGGGTACGATGGACCACAAATTAACTATCAGGTTTGACTACCACTGCCAAATCCTTATTTACATTTTCAGAAATCAGAAACAGTGACTAGGTATTTCGCAAACTCGAAATAGGACTGAATAGACTGAATAGTTGGCGATTGAGTGCGTTGTTGAGCTTACGCTCATTTCACTCTGTCTAAGCTATCATTGACGCTCGTCTCCCTCTGACCTTGTATTGTCTTGTACGGATACCGATGCTTTCCCTTTCATAATACAGGGTGTTGAAATACAGAAAAAAAATTATTTATAAAGTTGCTGCATTTTTGGTCAACTGGGATGTCATGCACTTGAACATTTAAACGTACTTAAGTTACACCCTGTATAGGTACAGGTATACATTCGGTATACCTAAATACAAGTATATAGATTAGTTTCGTGAGTAATGCATCTGCGTCCTGTTCGCATGATGCATGAGAAAGTTTAGTGAACTCACGACTCGATTGTATAGGGTCCCGTTCTGGAATCGAAGTCGGTTACTAACCTATGACACCGCACCGGGATTTAGCGGTTCGTCTTGGAAGGCATTCTCGTATTGTATACATGGGTAGACGAAAAAAGAACAAGGGTGTAATCCGATGGGAATATAACGGTTTTTTATGGGGATTCTCCATCATGAAAAACGCGAGCGGTTACATGAGAAGATGAGATGGTGATGTTCTTCCGTTCACACACAGGGCATATAAAGAAGATTTTAACAGCAAATCAGATCGTGTCTGGTTATGGGACAATATTTTGCGGTGACTGGAAATGAATATTTACATAGCTTTTCGGCTGGGCGGCAATCAGGATTCGAGGATTGTCCGTGAATTTTGCATATATAGGCAACTATTCAATGTTCCGCCATTTTGTAGTAGGTAAAGATATTGATTTTATATTCTAGGGTTGTGAAGTAGTCGTCAGGAGCTTCAAAAAGATGTGTCACAAGACTCCCCTTTCCATTTAATTTTTCCCCAGATGGTGCCCAGTATTCCTGCATCAATTTCATAATCCCAAGTTTCAATTTTTTCAGTTGACCCATTGAAAAAATGAAAGGGGGGAGGGGACATTAAAGATAAGCACTGTACCTATATATTTTGCTAATGTTCCCTTAAGACGTTTCCGAATAAATTCTTGCTGCGCTACTGAAATTTCTGCAATATCTTCGTATTCCTATCTTATGGTGGATTGTGAATTTATGCAACATTTGCATAGTCCTAATCATAGTCTTAGTTATAATTTTAAGCATAACTAGAAGTTGAAACAAGGTACCTACTTGAGGCCGTTTACATACCAATTCAAGCCTAAGAAACGACTTTGAAAGTTGATTAATTTGAACTTTTATGCTTATGCCTATGTTGTTATGTGGACTTGGCGCATGCTCCTTTGATAGAATTGTTGATGATTTGTTGTTTACATGTTCCGAAAATAATATTATGAGAATGCTCAGATGTTGATAAGTTTGATAGATAATTTTCCTCATCTCTGATACAAAAAGAACCACAAATTCTCACATAACTCTTATGCTTAAATCAAGTTTTAATGTTTCTGGATAAATACCTCAAATCTTTAAGACAAAAATTTTCACTAAGACTATGGTTAGAAGTTAGAAGTGTTAGAACTAAGATCCTAAGACTAGGACTATGTAAATGTTGCATAAATCCGCCATTATACTATCTCGTATTTTTCCTCTATATTATGTTCAATGCTAAATAAGTGATAAACGACTTGAGGAAACATTAGCAAACTATATATATTGGTGAACAGGAGAAACATATCTTTCACTTGAAGTTGAAAATATACAGGGTGTTCCGTCAAGAAAACTAATTTGAACCCTTTTTTCTATTTCGCCATTCGCATTTGTTTATTTCAGGAGTGCCAAAAGATAGTACAGATGAAACCCTCTATACAACTTTCATATTTGAAGTTACTTTCCACCACCTCGTATAGTTCAGGCTGTAAGTAGGGGTCAAAATATACGGAGTTGTGTGTCAAATACTTCATGCAATTACCCCATCACAGACTGTCAAAAAATGTTTTTGTTTTTTGACGACATTTTCAGGAAACATTTGTGATACAACAGAACTCATTATCTTTTTGTATAGGTATATACAGAGATTATACACTCCCCCCTTGTGTATAATCTCGGGTATATAGGTACGCATCATGCACACATCATCAGCTATAGGTACTTTTTGAGTCCTTATCGATCTTTTCTCAAATATATGTGAGGAAAAATTCAAGGTTGCGTTATTTTCTATCCCAATTTCTATGAATCTGAAGCAATCTGAAATAAAAATAATTGTTCGACATCCTGCCACCCTATGTACAGGGTGTATCGTGTATCTGAATAACACCAAAAAAAGGCAAAGGTTGATTCCTTGTGATATTTTTGGAAATGAAGTGCATATAAACATTTGTCCTAACTTGCTTTGTTTACGTTGAAAAATATTTTTTCTACTCATTTCTCAATTGTCTCTCCACCAATTTCAATAAAAAGTTTGTGGTTTTGTTAATAGTAATATGGAGCTTCTTCTAGAGTGCAATTAGATTCGAAATGATATTTCCAGTGGCGTCACAGTGGGTAAATTTATCGATATTCAAGGTGAATGTCATTGTACACCACCGGTTTTTCTGAGTTTCATATTTTTATTAGATAGAACTATTAAAATAACAACTTTTTTATCCTCTGTGTGATTTTTGTATATCTAGCATAATCAATGGGGAAACGAAAAAAATTCGATTTGACTCCAAATTTTAATGAAGGTGTTTTCAAGACTTCCATTGAGATTACTCAATGACCCCAATTAGAATCACTCTAAAATTTTGGGGCTTTCTCAGTCTCCATCCATACTGAATTTTATTACTTTTTTCTTAGAAATAGCCAAGGAATCTTACCTTTTCTCCGACCATTGTTTTGAAACATCATCTCTCATTCTGTATGAGAATAACCGATAACCCAGGCTAACCATATAGCTTCTTCCGCATTTTAATCTGACAGTGTCTGTATGTTTCAAACAATAAGGTTCCAAACGAGCTGCGAACGGTGGCTGCGAAAAGACCTCTTGTTCTGAGAGGAACCGGAACTTGCAGTGCCCAAAAATAACAATTGATAAAGGTATTGCCGAAAATAGGAACAGGTTTCGGGTCTACAATCTGCGTTTTTGGCGTACACAATAACGTAACGCATGATTGTGATGGACGATAGTGTGATGGTGTGAGTAAAAGATCGAAACAGCGCCGTGCAAAGGAGAAGTTAGCTGGGACAAATTACCATCAGGAAGATATATATTTATGATTGGTCATATTTTCTCGGTTTTAGTCTGTATTTCTCAATATTTTTTCTTTCTATTTATTTTATCCAATAAGGGCAAAAACTTTCACCAGGCTATGGCCTGTTTCATCGACTATCTCACTCATTATACATAATCTGACAAACCACAAGGCAGAGACAGGTTGTGTTTTTTATGTTCTGGTTCTCACGAAAAGGAATATCCTGATGTAATGTTCAGACAACATCTTGAGAACCATGGGAAAGAAGGAAGGAATTGGTGTTCTTCTTAAATTTCTGGAGGTTATATGCCTCAAGGAACACCTCCCGTGGCAATGTGTTCCAGAGCCTCGCTGTTCGTTGGATGAACAAGTCTTTGGAAAGAGATGTTCTCCAGATCTCCAAAGTGACCACGAAGGGGTGCGAAGCCTCAACTCGACGGGTTAATCCCGCGGGGTCTGCCAAGGGAGGAACAATTGTTGATATTTTGGAAGAGCATCGTCCATAAAAATATCTAAGAAATAGAGTCAGATCGACAACTTTTCTATACGGTGTTCCAGCGAAGTGAGTGAGTTTGAGAGCGAGGCATCACCCACGAGACGAATTGCCCTTATTTGGAAAGAATTCAACAGTTTCAGGGTATGTTTGGGTGCTGCACTCCAAATATGGGAACAGTATTCCAGGACAGGTCGGATCTGTGCCTTATAGATCATAAGCAGCTGACTGGAAGTGAAATAGCTCCTGGCCCGAAACAGAAAACTAAGTTTTTGGGATGCACTTTTAGCAATTGATCTCACGTGATTTTCCCAAGGAAGGTTATTGCTGATAGTAATACCAAGCATCGAAATGGATGTGTTCAAAGGTATGGTTACTCCTGACAAGCATACTTGTGTTTTGTTTGCATTGACATCTACCAAGTTATTGGATCCCCATTCGGGAATTGGGAATTGTTGCCAAGTCCATATTTATGTTTTCAACATTTCTTCCTCGCTCATTTCTGATTTGTTTGGCTGGTATTGGAGCCCTGGAAGAGAAGGTGGTATGAAGGGTACTATCAGCCGCAAAGCTGTGTACTGGACATGAAGTTGCTTCCAACAAATCGTTGATATGGAGTAGAAATAGTGTTGGTGCTGGAATTGATCCTTGCGGAACACCAGCATTTATGATAAGAGTGCCAGATGAAACTCCTTCGACCACTACATGGAGAGACCTGGTTGAGAGAAAACTAGCTAGCAGAGAACATAGCTGGGGAGGCAAGCTATGAGACGGAAGCTTGGCGAGGAGTCCGTGGTGCCAGACTCGATCGAATGCCTTGGAGATATCAAGTGCTGAGGCTAAGGTTTCACCATATTTTTCAATAGATTGCTGCCATGTATGTGAGACGTATAAGGGCTGTGGTCTGTTTTATCGACTATTTCACTCATCACATAATCTGACAAATCACAAGCGAGAGACAGGTGGTGTTATCATGAAAACACTATGGCAATCTTTCAATGCTGATGATGTCAGAATTGATTGCTCATTTATATTAATTGCTTTTTATACTTCGTTAACGTGAAATATTTAGTCAAGCCAAATACCACTCTGTTCTGAATATCTTTTCATGATTCTGCCTTTCCTCCTTAACTAAATTGTGTTGCCGAGCGACACCACGAGTCCATCGTGAACAATGAAGCGACAGAATTATCTGGAATATTCTGAACTTCGTGATATTACTCATGAAAATATTCCGAAAAAATGTTGTGGCCTATTTGAACAAATAGAAAAACTCAAGTTATGGAAAGACTTGAGACAGACTTGATGGCGATCTGGTGGACAATATAATAGGTACTGTTAGCCTTCGATGAAGACATTTTTTATCGATTGTTCACATGTTCTGCCGAAAACTCTGTTAAGAAAATCCATAGTAGATATTGACACAGTTAAAAGAATATACAATATATTTGATATCCTCACAAACGAGTGCAAACGATAACATTTCCATGAGTATATATTTCGCTTGAATAAGCTACTGCGTGATTGGGATTTTGTGGAAATATTATCGATTTTTACAATCATTTAAAAATTGTACGGAGCTCTGAGGAAAAAACAGTTTGTGACAGCGAACTAATTTGGGTTACTACTTGGACAGTTCTAATGAATAACGAAATAAAATGTTTCACTGAAACAGGGCCCATTGTATATGGGATCATCTTGAAATCCACTGAAATCTACTTATAGTGTGCACACTGGCAGTAGTGGCAGTTAGATAAAAACTTCATTATTGGTGAAATAGTCCTAATGGTTTCAAAAACACAGAAAGACAACTCTGGACCAAGCACCAAAATTTCTAATTCTTCAGGACTTTCTTTCGTACCCAACTAGAGTTTATCGTCATCAGATATTGTTTATTCTCTCCTGAAATCAATCAAAATATACCTATATACTTACTGGATTTAAATATGAAATTTCCAACTTCATATCCATTAGTCTTCAATCACTTCCATGTTCTATTCAGAATTTCAAATTTAGAATCACGCCTATAACCATATGTACCCATATTTTGCAGAAATAGGTATATTATAGTGATCGTTTGTTACGCCACTGGCTCATACATATGCTGTCATATACATGTTATACATATTTATGTCGTTAAATAAACGTTAAAAATGATTACAATAACGTTTAACGCCCTGTTTGTGGATTCAATCTTGCCGCTATTATGTATTTTTTTATTGGTGTATAATTCTGTACATCAGGCATGTATTATATTGTATAGGTATGTTTTATAGATAGGTATGTAATGTAATACCTATATCTATATAGGTATCAAGTACGCACGGTTATTATGTCCATGCAAAAAATTATATTTTGTCATAGAGAAGATTCACTTACTTGTCGTGTATACAGGGTGTCACAGAGTTGTGGTGACAAAAGCCTATATAGGGGAGATTCCTCTCAACAAAATATAGAAAACAGTTCATATAAACATGGGTCCGAAAATCCTTCGTTTCCAAGTAAAAAAAAAAGTTTTTTCGAGTTTTTTATTAATATCTTGAAAAAACATTTCTCACAAGAATGTATACATTATAGGTATATAGTATTGGATTTCATGACTTTTTTGATTTCATAAATAATTATGTGCAATACATTTTTGGATAATACTCGTATCTAAGCATTTTTATTTTTCCTTATGGAGTTTAGAGATTATGCCGAGGTATGATAGAATTTTCCAATTTTTTCGAAAACGAAGCAAGACACGAAGAAATAGCAAGAGACAGAAATATTGTATATTTAGTGGGTTTATCTGAAAATTTAAGAAGAACACAAAATATACACAGTCTGAATTTTCTTTTTCTACAAAAAAGCCGACTTGCTCGATGTGCGCCCCTGAAAATTCAACGACCAAACACCAAAGCGAAGTTGTGGGATGATTCAATACCAATTACCATCAGGAAGTTTTATTGATTTATGTTTATGATATTCTTCGAAACATAGTTCCTTCCTATATAGAATTACACAAAAAAATCTTACGAGCACCATCACATTTAGATCTGCGAAAGTACAAACTCGTTAGATCCTGGCTTGATGCGACATCATGATCTCAATTTTTGTGATTCCCTCATGAAATCTAGTAAATGAAAAACACATTCTGTCCTCATGTTTTCACCGGGAAAAGGACATTGAGAAGGAATGTTCTCAGGTAAATTAATAACATCAAAAAATGGATATATGTATATACCGGGTGGCTACGGAAGTATTGCCTACAGAATATCTCAGTTATTGTATGAAGTAGGTTTGTGAAATTTGGAGCGTCGATATAATGACATAAGAGCTAGAATTTAGGCATATTGACATGTCGAAGTTAACTTCCGGTCTAACCGGAAGTAACATCAACTTTCTTATTTTAAATGGAAACCCTATTTTTTTTTTCTTTTCGCTTTATTCAGCATTCAATTCCCTTTCTAATGACATATCACAAGTTGGTATCTAACCAGAAACTAGATCAGAAAAAAATTATTATTGAAATTCACCGAGTAGGCCGTGGAAGCGTATTTCATATCAAAAAATGACTTTCTATTATATCATTAGAAAGGAATGGTTATGCTGAATAGTACAGGCAAGAAAAAGTTGTATGTTCCTATTTAAGTTATGGACCTACAGAGTATTGTTTTTTTCCCAATTTTTCTAATATTTTTTTTGGCGGCTTTTTATAACGCCGACGAATGAAAATAAAATATCACAGTAGTAGCAACTGTTATCAAGTGACGTATGGTTTCCATAGCCAACTTTTCAATTTTTGGCTTTCATTTTGCTTCCACGGCCTACTCGGTGAATTTCAATAATATTTTTTTTCTGATCTAGTTTCTGGTTAGATACCAACTTGTGATATGTCATTAGAAAGGGAATTGAATGCTGAATAAAGCGAAAAGAAAAAAAATAGGGTTTCCCTTTGAAATAAGAAAGTTGATGTTACTTCCGGTCAGACCGGAAGTTAACTTCGACATGTCAATATGCTCAAATTCTAGCTCTTATGTCATTATATCGACGCTCCAAATTTCACAAACCTACTCCATACAATAACTGAGATATTCCGTAGGCAATACTTCCGTAGCCACCCGGTATATAAAGAAATACACTGAGAATTCGCAATCTTTATGTGATGAAAATATCAATTCTTTTCGGTTCATTCAACAGGAAACAACTATTTTCCCGCCTATATGCCACGAACATTGAATTATATCTATTGAACACACACGATAAGAATTTGGAAACAAAATAATCTGGAGTTGAATATGAATATAATGAACATAATATCATTCTGAATATTCAACAGAAAACAACGACTACTCTCCTGGCTATTTGCGAATTTTATTCAATGTTTTCTTTATATGTTTTTTGATGTTGATAATTTATCTGAGAATATTCCTTCACAATACTTTCACCCAATCAAGGGGTTCAAACTTGAACGATGGAAACTTGTTACTTGTTATTTTTATAGATATCTTCCAAATTATTGACAGGTTTTTGCAACTCCTGTGGATTGAGTGGTTCTAGAGAACAAAAATGGACTGTATCGTTGTGTGCCCACGGCATCCCATCACCTATGATACGTAACCTATAATATCACCAACACTACCAGTATTCGATAACATTCGCTGTTTGGACGAATAGTTTCGATCAAAAACATCTTATCAATGGATAAAATCATAAAAAAAGGTATATCTGTCGATAACTTACTGTTTCGTTGATTGAAAGACATGTCTAAACAAGGTTGGAACAATGATGTAGGTACTGAACGAGAACGACTGACCATAAAACAATCTACAACATACTGAAAAGTGCGCCGGTATCGTAATTCGTAAGGCGGGCAACACGTATTGCAGACGTAGGTGTACCTATCGAAAAAAAAATTCTGAGGCCCCGACGAGATTCGAACTCGTGATCTCCTGTTTACTAGACAGGCGCTTTAACCAACTAAGCCACGGCGCCGTTGGAAGCACAGAATGCACACAATATTGAATCGTTTCACGTGTCTTTTTATCAAAATGGTATTTCATATTTTTCTTGTTCTTACCTCTTCCAGCCTCTTCCTAATTGATATTGTGATTTATGTTGTGATTGAACTAAAGACCCCCAGCTTAGCCCATTTTGTATGACAATATCACTTAATATACAGTTTTACCTACATTATATTCAATTTAAATCCTCCAATGAAGGCAAATCATCAAACCGGTTTTCACTTTTTGTTTTGTTGATGTTGTGGTGATATTCGGCTGCCGGAGTGTTGATCTGTGATGATTTACCTATGTGATTCATAATGAATAATTGTCTTTTCAATTAGTTAGAGGAATTCATTCATTCAAATTCAAATATCAAATCATTGAAACAACTTAAAACTCTGCAGTTGCCCAGTTACATTCCTGTGCGGTTGTTGCAGGTGGATGCATAATGCATTCCATGCATTTCGATTTAGAAAAGTGTGCGCATGTCAGAAAAGTTTCTATGCGTAGTGGACGTGGTCTTCAATCAAGATTTTCAATACTTCTTTAATTGTTTTTTTGTTAATTTATTTGTAAAAAGTGTTCAAAGTACTTAGTTGTAACCGATACCTAAGTCTAGTGTTATAAATGTCGACGACAGGCAAAATACCACCGATCACCATGAGCAAATTGTATGTGGGAAATTTGCCGAACGAAACCAGTGAAAATGGTCTTCGGCAACTGTTCCTGGAACAGACGTTGTCTTGCACGAACATTTTAATAAAACGTGGAGGATATGCTTTTGTTGATTGCCCTGATCAATCTTCAGCGGATAGGGCGATTGATAAGTTGAATGGTAAGTGAGAAATGAGAATTCATTCATAACTTCAAAAGACCGTCATCATGATCCGTCATTTCATCGCAGGAATAGGCAAGGAATGATTCATCTGCAATAACTATTCACTTATGTAGATTGTAGGTGAGTACCTACCTATGAGCACATGTACCGAGATTTCAGAGTAATTCATTTTCTTGATAAATAGAGGTATCCAAAAACAAAAAGGAAAACATAATTTGTAGGTTAGGTCGTAATAAATATGAGAAGGACATGCGTCCTGTCAAATCTCTTCGTCGGTTTTGTGGGTCGACTCGCTGCCCGCTGGTGTGGGTTGTGGGGTCTGGGGTCTGGTCACTACACAGTGAGGACATACAAATTATGTAAACATGATAAGTAGGCAGGGGCGGACTGGGTTGAAAAAAGCTAGAGGGCTTTGTGGATCAAAGGGCGCAACATGAAATGATTGTCTGAGTGTTCATACAGAGGCGTAGAAGTGTACCATTTTCTTTTTAATCCGAATCTCAACTCGGATTTGGCCCAATATTGGAATATTGCATAAAAAATTAAAGACAACCCCTGATTATTGATGTATGATATTATCTCCTTCTCGAATAAACAGATACATTCTTACTATCTGAAAAAATACCTACTCAATAAATTCATCTTCTGCATGTATTCCTCCAAATATAGGCTTTTAAAACGATTCGAAACAAACATCAGAGTTTCATGGATTTTGAATAGTGTTTGAGAGTATAGGCCATGACAATGATAACAATTTTATTTTTTACTGATCAGATTTGCAATCATTCTTATTATTTTATTTCAAAAATCGATCAAACTCTGTTAGTCTTAGATACTCAAGAATTGAAAAATATGGAAGATGATTATATTGAATGATGTGTCTTTGGAAAGGTCTTAGAGAGGTCTTTCCATGGTAAAGAAATATACAGTGTCCCATCAACGATTTAATAGACACAGTATTGCTATTTCCCAAACAGTAAGAGATATAAAGTTGATTAGGTAGGACAAACGTTGCTTAATTTGAACTTATTCAATATGACGTTATGCACTTTCGAAAAATGTCAGCTGTTCCTGAAATATTTTGAAAAGACTAAAAATCACTGATTTCGTTCCTAATTATTCTCTTGGTTAATATTAGAGAGAAAATATTGAAATTTTTTGTGAACAGGTAATAAATCATGGATGGTAAAGAAGTTGAGATTCTCAGAAATATTCTATCTATTATTTTCAGAGATTTACCAATTCAAATTCAATCATAGAAATATAACTGGAATAAAACTTATGTCAAGACCAAGTCTTACACTGAATGATAACCTTCAATAATAGTTAAAGAAAATAGTATCTTGATTATTCAACGAAAAATTTATATTCTGAGGTTTTCTGTGCCTTTTGTAATAATGTAGCAAGCTATTCATGGTTATTAAGAAGTATCGATATTGTGGTCATGACGACTGATAATATAGGTTTTCTCATTTTCATGGCCTACCACATTTGAAAATGTTTTCACTGTTCTTTAGCGCTATTTTCATTCAATGGTATATAAAAACAGATATTGCGCCCATAAGAAAAACGTAGTTTGCATGTTGAATCTCTGAAAATATTGAAAAATATTTCTGACAATCCCAACTTCTTCATCATGATCAATCACCTGTTTATATACAAAATTTCATTAGCTTTTCCCAAATATTAACTAAGAAAAGTTTTTTCAAAATATTTCAGGAACGGCTGACATTTTTCGAAACTGTAAAACGTCAGAATTCCAAGTAACAATGTCGTCATTCCGAGTAGAAAGTCTGCATTCGAAAATGAAATTAAAAACGTTGCTTTCTGGCCTTCGTAAGGCGCGATAGCAGCGCGTTTTTTCTTTCTTTGCTTTCTTGGAGTCTTAGTATACCAGGGGCAGGGGCGCCACTGGGCAAAGGCGCAGAGGGCTTCGCCCTCCCGCCCTCCGGGCCAGTCCGCCCCTGTAAGTAGGTACCTCGTACATTGGATTGAATTGAAGTTATGGAGTTATTTGCGGTTATTTGGGAACTTTGGGTTGGGATAAGCTGATAATATTAATCCTTGATAGGTAATGGTCGATGTTCGATAGATAATAATTAATAATGCATCCTCTACTGCAACTGTAGCCCGAGAAACCAGTGGCGTATGGGTAATTATTTGAAAAATTCAAGGAGTACCTATCCAGAACTCAAAACACGAAGTGTATTTCAGAAATTTACCTAAACAGGGTGTCCGGGATTTCCGGGAAACCATGGATCATACTCTATATAGCTGGTGATAGACAAATAGTTATTTATTATACAAGGGAAAAAAGTAGTAGATTTTAGCTCCAGGTTGTGTTGTCTCCCGACGCGTAGCGGAGGGAGACAAAAAACCGTGAGCTAAAATCTAATATTTTTCCCGTGTATAATACACTATTTTTTTCTGTGACAGAGGGAAGGACGAATCAATATTGAGAAGATATTACATTATTTCGAAATCTGAAAATTATCGACGTGAAATTTCAAGTTTTTAACAGTGGGGACACCTGCGTTTTATAGACATCTTTATCATTCTTTTGTAGTAATCAAATATCTGATGTCACTTCTGTCAGTTCAATTCTGTGATTTGATTCTAAAAAATTGTGAATTCAGTTGTTGTTTAGTAATATACGAAACCGCGAAGTCTAATGGAAGATAAAAGGACTTGCAGTTCTTTCTCGGAGACGGTATTATTGACTCATTTTTCGGAACTATAGCACAACCTCGAGCACAACAGAAGCCATTAACAGAGTATATATATGTGATATATATCCGGGAAAAAAGTACTCACTTTTTTCCCACGGGAAAAAAGTAATTTATGAAAAGTGACATTTTTTAACCTGCCAACAGAGATGAAATGCCAAACTTTTTTCCCGTCACAGAAAAAAACAAATTAATCACCTATAAGATAATTAGAGCTTGATCTCAGTAAAAACCTCACGGTTTTCAAAAAAATAGAAGTTTGATATAAAACAATTACATTACTATCTCAGATAATAATTTTATGTTCGAAGCAGATAGGGAGCGTTTCATGTTTATATTCTTACATTACAATTGCAATCATTTACGGTCTAAAAAAATATCCTCAGATTTGGATCCTTCCACGATCCTTCATAATTTTTTTACCAATGCCATAATGGAACAGCGACATCTATAGCAGAAAGAAGCGTTTCTGAGCGTATAAATGCCAATTAGATTTTTGTTGGGTCAGGTTTTTTCCTCCGGTTTCGCTTAGTTGGCGGTCTTAAGCTTGCTGGATGGTGACTACCCTACACTGATGAGGGCCAAAAGCTCGAAACCGATCAAGCGTTAACCTGATGGGTACTAGCTGGAAATAATTTCCATTTAGGAAAAAACCCTTGCATCAGTACCTATTCGTCTATACAAAACGATGCATAAATTTCGGGAGGATTTAAATGTAATTCAACGTTTGTGGAAATTACTTTGATTTTCTGCTTTTCATCAACATTTCATTCCATTTTCAGCATTTTGGCGATTTTGTACTTTTGTAGTCAAAAATATTATTGTCGGTGCATTTCTTGTCGATTTCCTGCGTTTGTATTCCATGAAAATTGAATAGTCAGTTGATTTTCTTCAATGTACTGATGTAATACTTATTTATTTCCAGGTTTTGGTTACAATGGAACGACTTTGGTAGTTGAACCGTCAGTGGCTTCTGGAAAGAAAAAGTGAGTAAGAGTTTATATAGCTACTAATCTGATTAGGTACGCATCGTTTGATAAACAAACTAACTTATGTATATACCTAATTGTATATATATTTCCATACTATTCGATATTAACACGAGGACCTTTCATTTGCGCGAAATAAATGAGTTCCAATTTTTAATTTAACCAAATGAAAATAGTCCACGGCGGGACATCAGGCGGGACAGAGCCTCTTTTTAAAAATCATCAGCTTCACTCTCGAGATTCTATATATCCCTCTGTGAGGTTTTCTCTTTGTTAGCGAAAATTCTTGCAAATTGTTCTTTAGCTGCGTAGCCGGAACAAAAGATGAGCTGATTTTCTGGTAATCCGTGTCATGAAACGGAATCTGAAAACCTGTTTGTTTTATGACACTTGACATTTATTTGTTATTTTGCATACCTTCACATAGGAGTTTTCGGACGGCTGCTACTCTGAGTAACCTTCAACGATATAGGTCGCGTGCACGATGACCGTCCCTGAAGGGAACACATTGAAACACAACCTCACTTTTCTTATTTGTTCACAAAGGAATCAAAGGATTGAAATAGTTTTTCACAATATTTTGGCATAGGAATCGTGTTTCCTGGGTTATTCATTAATTCAAGCATGCCATCACATTGTGCTGTTGTACAATGCACAAAAAATGCAGCAAAATAGTGATCTCACATAGTTTTCAATATGAAATTTTGTAATTTCTCATTAGGATTCCTTCTGCCACTTCTGCAATAGAAGCTTATACTGCTATAATAGTGAAAATGTCTCACACACGATCATATTTCGTCAGCATGTCAGACCAGTCCTCCCGGCGTTTGATTGCATGAATCCAGTATTCTTACCTTCTTTTAGAAACTTCACGAGTATATTGTAGAAGGCATTTCAATGAGAAATGACAAAATTTCAAAATGAAAACAATATGTGAGTGACTATAGTACTTTTAGATCACAATGTACCTACCTGAAAAATCGGATTCCTTCGTCACTCGCTGCATTTTTTGTGCATTGTACCAGGTGATTCAATAAGGATGACGAGACATCATCATAATGTGATGGCATGCTTGAAATAATGAGTATCCGAAAAACACGATTCGTACTTATGAAAATCTCGAAAAAACTAGTTCAATCCTTCCTAAAGGTTATGTTTCAATGCTTACCTCTAAGGTCGGTCATCTGACAGATCTTGCACGCAACCATATCGACGGTCATCTCACGTAATGACGTAGATTTTCATCATCTTAATCCGCTCATAACTCAGGGGTTTGTTCATGAAAGATATTTGTTTTTTATTCATTAGCGGAAGAACTGGAACTAATTGTTATAATATGGATAGATTTCGAAAAAGCATCGCAAAAAACGGAGAAAAAAATATGTTTGAGAGATACGTCACTACGTGAGATCATGTTTGTCAATGTGGCCTTGGATATGCCATGAATATAAAACTATTGACATAACTCCCATAGTTAGGTCAGTTCGTGAGATTTGGTAGTCCAATAATTTGAGATATAAGTATCTCAAATTCCGATTTTTTACGTGAGATGACCCACGATATGATTCCTGATCAGGTGACCATACTCCTACTCTTCTCACAGGAGTAAGTTTATGAACACAGCCCTGAAAGTTTGGCACGTGGGCGCCTCACAGCAGCAGCTTGATTCACTCCACCTTCGGCCGGATCGAATACGAACGAAGAAAAAGTGCACCGAGAGTGCATTTATAAAAGTGCATCTGCCCCTCGTCGTCCTCGCAATCTGCAAGGTTCGGATTACGTCCTGGAGCGAGCGCAAAGTCTCGTTTTGGCACGCTCCTCGAGGCGTCAGGTTGATTGCCTAATTTCCGCTCAGTTTGGCGTTCGGTTGGTTGTTATTAATGTTTTCGTCACGTGTGGGCGGGGCGGCACGCCGGCTCTGGAAAATCTTTTATCCTCGAGGTTTTTACTTTTTTCTTAGCGTCAGCAGGGATTTCCGAAAAACAGCAAGTATAAACTACGCCTCTGAAGGGGTGGATCGAAATAATTCCACTGGTGGCATCTATACAGGGTGACCCAGGGTTAAACCGCCAAACGTTAAGGGTTGGTTATTTGGGCAAAAATGAGACTTTTTTTCTAATGAACATATGTCCTAACTTGCTTTGTTTTCGATATACAAGGTGTCAAAGCCAATGGAAATAATTTGATTCGGATTACATCAAATGGAGCTCCGTTTCACCGCAAATAAGCATACCAAGTTTCATCGAAATCTGCCGTAAGTTCAAGCCGTAATTAATGAAGAACCGATTTTTTCTGAAAACTATATAATTATATAGTTCCCCACTATGGACCATAGTCTGTTGATCATGTATTCTAGCTGAAAGTTTGAAAAAATGTACAGGTTTTCGGGAAACTAATTTCTGAACCCTTAAAGTCTAGCTATTGGAGAAAAACAGAAAAATTCAAATATCTCAGAACCCCCCCCCCTCCCCATTACATCTCCAAGGGGATGTATCGAATTACCAGTAACCCTGTATAAAGTACAAAACATATACATCGACACCATCGTCACTATCACTAACAAAAAAAAACAGTATCGTGTCGTTAACAATCACCTCCAACTTCTCGCTCACGATCATCAAAGCGCAATGTTAATAATGATAATAATAATATTGATAATCTCGGTGGATCCTGAATCGGTCAGCTGTTGTCACGAAAATTCCGGGGAAGTAGATAAATCGACTCGTTATAATGTTCCAACCACCTGCTCGTCTTTGTAAATACGGTCTCCGAAAGATGATGGTCGTATACCTATACATACGCTACCACGTGCCGTTAATTTGGGCTTGTATAGATGATTGCCGAAAATGAAAAATAAGAAAAGAAATAAGTTTTATAAAACATGATTGCGATGGATTGTTCAGTTCGTTAAGGCTTTGCAATGTATACAGGGTTTTCGGCACATTTGCTAACTATTGGAGCTACAAAGTCGGTATACTATACTATATAGTTAGTAGTATTTTTTCTGCTGATTACGATAAAGAAATCGAAGAAAAATCGATGTCACGAGTTTGCGACCATCAAATAAGGCCTAAATAATAATATTTGTTTTTAAATTCATTTATTGATGGTCGAAAACCTATTTGATCATCTTTAGTTCTCGACTAATGTGGTCTAGAACCACTTTGAACTAATTTCTGGTTCTCCAGAATATAGGTCTTAAGTATTAAATGACTTTTACATTGAAACGTTTTCCATATTTTTCACCATAAAGTACAGTCGTATTCAATAATAAAGCGTACAAGTATTAAACAGAGAGGATTTCGGGATCCTAGTTCTAGTTGTGTAAAACTGGCTCCGCCAATGCTTTGTGTTTTCGAGAACCTATGACAACTTTACTGTCAACATTTGGTAAGCAATCATTCCCGATAAACGGTAAAGGATGACGTTAATTTCTCTCTGTAATATACTTGTAAGCTTTTTTTTAATGCGACTGTACCTATTGCAGCTACAGAAGATTATAAATTTGATTTATTTTAATTTTTATCGTTTATAGATCTTTTAGGAATCACAAAAATGACAATGGCAATGACTTTTAGGTTTCCTATGTTTGAAAATTAGTATTTTTTTACAATTTTATGGTTATAGAAGTCTGTCTATACGCATATAAAATGATTTTTGCATTATAATCTCTACATTCGAGTGTTTTTTAATCATCTCATTTTAGTAGATAAATCTGATGGATGGTGGTCGAGATCCAACATGAAAATGGTCGAGAACCTTGTGGAGTGGACAAGAACTTATTCTTGTTGTAGATTTTTTTCCTAATATCGAGATTTCAAAAGTTGATACAAAATAACACTTGAAACATATATTCACAAATTACTCTATAACGAGCTCTTTAAGTTATCATGGAATTGGTTTACACCTCGTTTTACACTGAGTTCAATACAATGTGATAAGCTCTTGCATGAATCAATCACTTTCAAAGTTGTCATTTCGGTCAACTGGCCGAGAACCAGTGCATTTTTCCATTTTCCCTATACAGGGTGTCCCGTAAAGACTACGTCAAACCTAGGGAGAATGCAGATTAAAGGATAACCCACCTGCCTATGACAAAATTCGCATTATAAAAGTCCTACCGTTTTCGAGATTTTTTTTTGAAAATATCCACTACCAAAGTTTTCAATAAAAATATTTCTCACAGCCCCCCTTTCGTCGGAGAATGTTTTTAACACGTTGACTGCCAGTGACTCAACTGTTGAGTCATGACGGACCCCCACCAAAGGCCGATGACTCAATTGCTGGGTCATGTGCACTCTGATATATCATGATATAGTATAGCTTCGGCTTTTGTCAGGGAAACTACATATTACGACATTACGTTGGCCTCTCGTTAGAGCATAAAAGTGTATTTTTACTGTATTGGTTTCGCGATCGTGTTTGTGTCTTTCTGTAATGGATGCTGGAATCCCAGGGCCATCTAGGCCTAAAAGAAGGCTAACAGACTACGAAAAAAAGAGACCTTTATCAATTGCTGAACAAGTAGAATTGCTATGGAAACAAAATTCGCAAGAATACCCCATTTTTCTGTCCTGCTTGTGACGACCAACCGGGACTTTGCCTCGGAAATTGTTTCCGAATATATCATGACAGAAAATGATATTTCTCAGTTTTTTTGGCAATAATCTTCTTATTTGTTGACTTTGTTGAGTTCTGTTTGTTTAGTATGTTGAAAACAATGTATCTCACTGTTGAATAAAGGTTTGGCATGCAATTCATATTTAGTTTTCATTGCAAAGTTCATTTTAGGGTCTGACTCAAGTGTTGAGTCATCGGCCTGTCGTTATTCAAACAGACCTCAGAGGCCGGTGACTCAACTGACTCAACCCTTGAGTCATACTATTTTCAGGTCTAATGACTCTGAAAAATAAACTGGAATAACCATCACAACACTAAGGACTTTGTTTTTCACAAATTTAAACAATAAAAAATGTCGGTTATTCGGGAAATCCCCACATC